GCGGGGGTGGAAAATCGAGTTATTTTTGAAATTTCTTTATATCTTAACCCTCAACTCCCAGAGGGGTTTTCCATCCCATCTTTGGCAAAAATACAATGTGGGGGTCACGAAAGCACGAAATCCGTCCGAAGCTTACTATTGGGTTGACCCATAATTTCTGGCCGAATTTCAACACTTTGATTTTTTCAAGTTTTATCTTTCCTAAAGAACAATTGATCAAAAACATAACCACCATCATAATCACTAATATGCACCCACTTGCTAGGGAACGAATGGATGCATTGCTCCCAGAACGAGAGAAGCTGTGAGACGAAAAGCTCGAAGAGGTCGTTTTTGGGGTGGTTGTATTTACTGACTTTTTCCTCTCCAAGCTGCTGCTTCAGGGGGCTGCGGAGGTGATAGTACGATGGAGCAACGTAAGGGCTATCCGACAGATGTGGTGTCGTGGTCCAGCCAGTGGATTTGAGCTTGGAGTTTTCTTTGCAATGTGCAATGTGGTTTCGCGCGGTCCTCCGAAAGCAGACTTTGAGACTTTTGCAACCGTCCTCTCTTACTCGGAATACCCCAGCGAATCCGACAAAACGGGGGTCACATCCCCTGATGAAACAACTCGGGTTTTGGTTGATGTACTGCGAAGTAGCCTTCGCTGTTCTAGCCGCGTGTTGTTATCGTAGGGGACTCATGACTCAATCTGCACTGGTGACCAACCAGGGATGTCTTGTCTATACGGTCGCAGAATGAAACTTCTGCAGATGGTCAGGCGTGCTTCTCGGTCATGGTCAGTCCATGCATGCTGTTTCCATCGAGGCTTCATTCTGCTACAGTCCATTCCATTCAGGTGTCGACTCATGGAGCGTAGGCTGCGCCCAGATGTTTGGCTTACAGTTTCCTTTATTAGGTTGTCCCATAATTAGTGAATCACTTTACATTTATTGTTATTAAAAATCCAAGAAAAATGGTGAAGGCGTGAAACATGTTTTGCGAAGTAGCATCCACATTATCCTACCTGAGCAATTACTCAGCCCATTTCCATGCTGCCTTCCGTGGCTGACATTTCAATTTTTCTGGAACCTATTTTTGAGCTCCCTTCTTAATCACTTCTGATTAAGGATCTTTCAAACGCCCAACAACATAGAGAATCGACCAGCAGATAGGCAAGGGCACGCTCCCTCACTCCACGGTCTGCTTATAGTTCACTCTATCGAGAGGTTGGCTTTTTTAGTTGAAGATGACCCACACTCCAACTACCCCTCAACTGGCAATCTCAGTGCTATACCCAGCGCCACTAAGCGTGAATATGGACGAACTAGCCGCCTTTTGCTAGAGCATGCCCGACTTGTTAAAATAATGGAATGTAGACATCTACGTAGAGTTGTAACGATTTTAAAATATTTAATTTGTATCTCGTGTGCTTTGAGCTCGAAACAGCTCCGCACACGATCTGACATCGTCATGTTCCTTCTGATCTCCCTTAGTTCCTTACAGTGATCATCCAGCTTATTCACCAGGGTTCTGGACTGCGTGAAGTGTACTAGCAAATCTCCGAGGAGCAGTAGCCCAGCGTGAACGATTCGGGAGTTCTGATAGCAAAAGCCAAACCTCATTCTAGTCCGACCCTTCAGAGATATTGGTGGAGCACGAGAGTGACCATGCGCTGGGAACCGCCGCCCAGTAATACTAGAGTCACTGAAGAAGATCAACATCTACAGCGTAATGGCGACGCGTTCAATTTGAAAGTAAAGCAAGACAAAGTCTGCTTTTTTCCTGAGGTCGTTCGACCCCACCTTGCGGAGAATATTCATAAAAAATTAGAGACTCTCAAGCTAGCCGATCTTCCACTTCCTCTGTGTGGCCCTATCCTCGTGCCAACAAGAGGCAACTCAGTTTGACCTCTAGCGCTCTTCCCCAGGGAGGAATTTTACGCTAAGTGACATGACCTCAAACTCGACTTCCGATCTTTCTTCGATCAATAGCTCCTGGATTTCTAGAGATAAGACAGCGACAAAATTTCCCTGTATAGGCAATACATTGTAGATGACAGGGATGTATGTTTGGATGAGCAAGAGACTCCATATGAAAAAGAAAAAAATTTGAATTCAAAAATACCCAAAGTGATTCACTAATTATGGGACAACCTAATAGTATAGCCGGATTGTACACTTCGTATCGTACGCAAGGGTCCTCATCAGAAAAAGTGAATTGGGACGTCTGTGAGGGTGGTGACTTATCTGCAACAGCCATCCTATCAGTATTATGGTCAAATGCTACGGTGCGAATAGGCTCGAAGAATAGCCGAATCAAAGTGTAGACGAAAGACATAATGGAGCAAACGTAGCGACTGAAATGTTGACCAATATAATACCCCCGCGCCTCCTTGCAAGAGAGGGTTTCTTAAAGATGAAATTGGGCGTTAGCAATAATGAGTTACAAGTTATTGGATCCTTGATCTATATTTTGATTCCTAACTTAATTATCCCTTTGCGCACTTAAGCTTTCTGAATCATCCTGGCTGAAGGTCCTGATGTGTTCTTCAACATATTAACTTATTTCATCATGAAGCTAATTTGACATGAAGAAAATTGAATTTGAACCAAAATCGGCCAGAAATTATGGGTCAACCCAATATGTGTACCACCTCAATGAACTCTGTCCGACGACAGACGCCCCTATAAGGGTTTAGGGCTGTTGCAGTGGCTGCGCTATACCTGATCGGCTGGAACACAACCCTCTGGCGCTGGCGCCACCTCAGCTTGTAAGACGACAAAAATAAATAAGTCAACTATATCTCTATAGGGTAACGTCTATGGATATATTCATCTGTACGATGCGTTACGTCTCTATGCGACTGCCGTTCGTTCGGCCATGAATCTGACCGGAAATCCGAACATCTACCAGGACGGAAGATTTATATGGAATCAAATGCGGCGCATAACGTTCCCAGGTAAGACAAAAAAGTTACGGGTACGCTCAAAGGAAGAGTAAGCGGAAGTAATTCTTTGTGGAATTTTCAGACATTTACTGCTTGATAAAAGGAAGGATTTCAATCAGTAGATTTGCAGTGGAAGAAGATATGTCGCGTTTATAAGTGAGCACTGCGATTCGACCAATGGCCTATAAGTGTGCAACAGACGCATCGCGAGCGCGCGCGTGCTCTACTTCAAACCCTCTACGGAGCAGCAAATTAATAACATAATTTTTCGAAACCACATTGTAGTTCTTCTGCTTCCACCTGAACAAAAATGCAGTATGTTATATTCAAGAATTAGAGAAAATGTTTATTGTTGGCCTCTTTTCCAAATCAGCTAAAAAATTTTAATTCCCAGGTCTTGTTTCGGCCGCTGGTGTCAGTTCTGGAACTGTTATGATGGACGACATTGCTGAACGTGCTCCAGTGTACGCAGGTGAGCATCTCATACAAACCTATTCTGTTGGCAACGTTGCCACGATGACCTTAATTCGACATAGCACAGGGGTCAGCTCATTCTTGCTACGAAATCCTCATAGAATTTCATAGAACAAAACCATATAATTAACAAGAAAACATAGCACAATTCACTCTGATCACTCTGGCAACCCTCAAAAGTGATAACTGAGCACTGCGTTCACATTTCGTTGCAATTTTTGGCCGACCTATCACTGTGATCTGATTTTATCATGGGGGCGGCATTGGCAACTAGGGCCACTACCACGAATCCCGAAATCCGTTGGCGTACCTGATGCAGCACGGACCAACACGCCCTATCAAAGCGCCTGGTAATTCGCTATGGGACTAGAATGGGGATATCACAAATGCCAGTCCATTGGCCTAGCCTCGCATTCTTTGGCTATGAAGTGCTTAACGTCAGCTTTGTAAGAGTCGCAAACTGATACTCACCCTACTTTTCTCGCTGCTAACCATGAGATGGCAACTGCTGCGTCTCGCAACAAATAGAGAATACGGCTAATAATAGTGCGGCTGGGATGTTCTGCGACATATCCCAGGTGACCAGTTACTGGCAATACGCCGGATATCGTGAAACAAGGACGGGGTCGAGCGATGGCATCGGTGATCTGTCCACGAGACCCGGCAAACGTGAGATTCCAGTGGGTGCCCACATCACCTCAGAGCAATACGTGCGCGACGAATGCTCTGGATTCCGTGCCTGCTGCGGGCTCATGAACAGGGCTTATTCCCTGACCCCAACAAGTGCCTCGAGTGCTTACGCGTACGTAAAGTCCCTGATGTTGCTGGAGGTCGATCTTCTAGACCAAGACGAGAGACGAACAGATGAGTGAGCAAAGGTGGCAATCCGGAAAGCGTGGCGCGACGCAAGCGGGGGTAAGCGTAAGTTTGACGATGTGAAGAAGCGAGATACTTACTGAACTTCATGTGATCCAAGGCATAATAAGACATGAACATACAAAGGGAACCTGCAAAACAGTTGAGAACATAGATATGAAGCTACTGAGAAAACTGACTACTGAAATGATGTACTACGGTTAGTATTAGGAAAGAGTTCAATACAGAAAGATGAACTACCACATATACATTAACTAAGCTACAGAATAGGAATTACTATTACTATGAAGAGGGAGAGAGGGTTACCTTGGGTACCGTTCGGTGTTATGAAGGAAAGTGAATATTACATTACTTAAAGCGAATGTCGACACTTTGGGCCTATGCGTTGTCCTTCTTATACTGAGAGTGTCACGAAAGCACAGAAAGACGAACCAATCACGCGGCGGCGCGGCGCTCTGTTCGTCTCCTCCTGCAAGGCTTAGTCCCGATGGCGCGTATTTCGAAACTGCACGTGATGGCGAAATAGTAACTGCCCCTGGGACTAAGCCTTGGAGGAGCAGACGAACAGAGCGCCGCGCCGCCGCGTGGTCCCCCAACCAACTAACGATAAGATAGCACCGAATCGACCTACTTGAATACTGGAGCGACGATAAACGAAGGCGAAGGCGACCGATCAGCATGATTGCATTTGCTCGACTGAGTATTACTTTCGCGGGCAATTCGAAGGCGGCAGAAAAGCAAGGCTCCACGCCCTTTCACAGTCGACACTCAGTCAAGACTGCGCGCTGGGACATCCTCCCGTCATGGCCTTGGAGCATCTTTGCTCGAGGTCATGCGCAAGCCGATACTGCATGTCAACATAGTCCACCTAGATTCCCTCTTATCTCGCGCCCTAACTCACTTTCCATCCTCAACGTCAGTTTTGCAGTACAATGAGTTAGTAGAG